AATTTGATACACCTAACAGTTCCCAATATTTTAGATTCATGATCACACTTTTTTGGTCTATTGTTTAGATTAAGAAAAACAATAAAATTTCAATTCAATTCTACCTGCCCTCACCAAGTTGCTGCCCTTCATGGAATCACACTCATTGAACTTTTTACTGTTTGACACACAACCATAAAAAACCCAAGGGGCAAGGGGTCCATTTTTTCAGAGACATTTATGGATTATTCTCAAAATTAAGATTGTCACTGCTTATTTGGATTTTAAGGTAAGGAGATATTCAGATACAATGGAAGGATTTGCATCTTCGCATTATGCTCCACAATATTTATACAGAATACAGTTTCCTCGAAAATCTTTATTAAAATCTGTCTAATAAAAAAGATCTGTTCCATAAAATTCTTTTACCAGAAAACTGAGATTTTATTAAGAGTTGCGGAACAATAAAGTGAGCAAATGAGGAGAAATAAACATAAAAATTATATACAAATTCCCCAAGCGAACAAGTAAAATATATACAGCCCAGGCAACCAAATTTATCATACATCTCACCCAAATCCAAACCCAAACCCAAACACAAGCCCAAATCCAAGCCCAAGCCAAAAAGTAGATGCAGTATATCCTCAATCTTGCATAATGTAATGCCTACTCACATACCAAGGCTCTCTAAATGCATCCTACACCCAGAAATGCAACAAAGAAATTTGAGAAAAAGGAAGGGGGGAAAAAAAATGCACAAAATCAATACATACTCATTCCCATACCAAATTAAATAAAAAAAAAAAATAAAAAAAAGAGTGGCGCATAATCCGAATAAGAGCAGATTTAAGCCAAGAAGCTCTTAACCGGATGTAGAGTTCACATGGGGAGCACCTGGTATTGGCATCATACTCTTTATGCGTCTCCATTGCCCTACACAAGGACCTCGGTCTAGAAGTATTAGCAAGCCCGTATTATTGGTTGATAACCCAAACACATACCTAAAAGAAACAAGAGAAAATTGTGAAAAATACGGGCTGTGTAATCTCTCGCACGGTAACTGCAGCTCCATGCGTAGTGAAACTATTTATCATATGCATCGAGATGACCCCTCAATTTCCCTTAATTATCTTTCCTTGATCTTATACCTCATTTATTCTCGAGAAATGTATGAAGCTTGAAATTAAACTTCGACACATTCAAAATTTCAAATCATAGAGGTTTCCTGTGTATGGTTTATTGGCCACTAACACTAAACTATAATTTCATATCATAGTCAGGGCAGTAATAAATAGCTAATATGTGAATGTGTTTGGTATGTGTCAACATTTAAGTATCTAGGTTCTTGACAATGTTATATCATCTGCACCGATTTATCAATTTATCAGATCGACAACCACAAGCATTATATGCAGCCAAAAGCAGCTCCCCAAAGAAAGACGCTAATAGGATACATATAGCTAAAATCAGTAAACAAATATGACAAAACATTTACTCACTTGCATCTCCGAGCTTTTCTTCTCCACAAAAGAAAAGAGGTGATCCACTGTTTTAAGAAATATATTGTCAGTACTCAGTAGTTATTTGAAGAAGTTGAAATAGAGATGATCTGAAATAACTCAAAATTGCATCAGCCTTTGGCGGTCAAACAGAAAACTAGCTTTGACAAGTCAAGGATAAAAATAAAACAGAGGTATATGGGACCAAAAAGTACAAAATCGAAGCAATAGCAGAACCTATTCCAAAATAGCTTATTTATCAAGACGACAATTATATGACTAGAACCCAAAAAATACAAAATAGAAGCAATTACAGAAGTTACAGAACCTATTCCAAAATAGCTTATTTATCAAGACTTGTCACGACAATTATATGACTAGAACGGTCAAGTTATACTGTGAAAAGGAAAGAACACACAATTTAAAATAGTCTCATAAAGAATGAGAACAGAACAAGATTTGAAGCTAATTAAGAGCCCAAGACTTTGCAAAGTGGTCCAAAAATGTCACAAGAAGGTATTTGTCACACAAAAAATGGTTACTCCTTTGGATGTAAAATTTTGAATTTCCCGGAGTGCTTTCTGTTAATTGGAATTACCGTTAGTGAAATAGAAAGAATTGCTTAGCAGGAAAAAATGTTCATACACAATCCAAAAAATAGAAAAGATGATGAATGAATAGAAAATTAAAAAATAAAATAAAAATCATAACCACAAAATGGAAGCACAGCATGCAACAAAAAATGAAGACAGTGCCTGCAAAACATTTGGAAGAGCAAAATATAGCCAAGTCATTCATGACCTTAATTTTGAGGGAACACAACAACCATGTTTCGAATAGCATTTCACAGACAATGCTAAAAGAGATTTTTGTTAAAAGAATTTAAAACGAAACAAAATCAAGAAACTCAGAACCACTGTGCTGCTGCAAAAGATTTAACTCTTTTATTATCAATTTCGATAGATCAATAGTTTCGCTAACAGTAACGAAAATGCATCGCTGACGAAACTAGCATGGAAGCTGTAAGTACCAATGAAAGAGGTAAACGTTATGTCAACTCTGACTAATCTGCATACAAAGATATAAATAATGAAATAAATCATGTATCCTCTAAAACCCTCTCTAGTCTCAGATTCTTCATAATCAAGAACAATGTCATGTGAATACCATGGAGTAAGCTCTGATCTTGATTCTATTCGACATTAAAAAACAAAATTCTGACGCAGCTAAGCTTTTTTCTGACACTAGACAATTTTAATGCATGATTGGTACATAACTCAAAGTTCCTAAACCACCCATCACTTTCATTTCAAGAGAAGAACATTTTCCCACCCAATAACTAATAGTAGATAAGCAACAAGACCAAGATATTCCCACGATAAACAGAAATAATTAAAATAACGAAGAGTCCCAATCACCATTACCCTGAATATCGACAGGAACGATAAACTCCCCACCGCCACCTGCTTTCTCAGCGGCACAGCCCTCGCCGGCGGCATCTCCTTGCAGAGGTTCTGAGCAATCTCTTTCAGCAGCACAAGTTGCGCCTTATCTGTTCCGATCGAAATAATCGCCTGCCTCATAGACTCCCGATCTGCCTCGAGCGCATGGAGCCTCGCGTAAAGTTTTTGTATCTCCAAATCCGAATCTTTGGGAGTCATTGTATACTCATCGCCAACAACCTCAACAGAAGCCTTGTTCTTGGCCACACCATTTGCATGGGCCCCCTGATGAATAGAATCTATTGTGTAGACCCTATCATTCGTCTCATCCCCAGTTTCGGACTTGCTATCCGTCTTTTTCAGATTAGAGCTCAAATCACTAAATGGTGAGTAGTTTGGGTCGGGCTCCCGGCCCATGTCACTAAATGGTGAGCCGGAGCTGTCTGTAGAGAACTTCCTGAAATGCCTACCAACCACATTCTCGAGCACATTCCTTGACTCACGGTCAGGCTGAATGGTCCTGGGACTGTTTTTCTCCAGCTGATTAATCCGGAACTCCAAATCCTTCAGCTGGTGGCGGGAGCTTGGAGTTTCACCTGATGCGACATTATCGGCAGCATCCTCGTCATCACCAGTCATGTAAGCCTGGGATCCATTGATGTTGACCTTGAGAGAAGGGTAAATCTCGTAAGGGCTTTCGAGATTCTCAATCATGCCCGTGTTCCTGTGCGTCCTGTCACCGTCGAGCCATTCGTCTGCCTCGTCCTCCGTGAGCCCATAGCTCATCATCCTGTGTTTATACGCCTCCACTTCACATGTAAGGGACTGAAAGGCCTGCTCCCTTTTGTACAGCAAATCCTCCAAGGCTAAGGTTTCTTGCTGGTCGTGCGCCATTTTCTCCTCAGCAAACCTCTTGAACTGCCTGGCCTCCATCTGAACCTCGGCCTTTTCTCTCTGCAGCCTCAGGATCATGGACATGGCTTCGCTTGTGGCCGATGACGAGGCATTTCTTTCCTCCTCGAGCTCGACAATAAGTTCCTGAATCGTCTGCTGCTGGCTGGCGACTGTTTCACGTAAGGCCTGGCACTCGTTCTCGATTTCTACACGGGCATTTTGGGGCCCGACAAGTCCCGGGATTGTGAAGGGCTTCTCACCTTCAAATTCTTCATATTTACGTTTGACCGTCCGAAGGTATGTGCCCGAGAGGGAACGGTCCATAATGGAGCAGATGCATCCGCAGTCGCAGCATTTGAGGTGGCTCGGGGAAGAAGGTGAGCTGTCGGAAGCCATGGACAACACTAATACAACACATCCACCAGAGCTTCAAGCCGTGCACGGATTGCGACGCCAAGCAATAACCAATTTCTTACAAATTGTGAGGGAAATTTGACAAATCCTGGATACAATTCGGAAAATTTACAAAATCCTAAACACCTCCGGCCTTCGATGTCCCTTTCCTTCGGGTTATGTGTGAGTATTTTTCCCCGTCTCTTTCCACAATCTCGCGAGATTTATGTATATTTTTCAGGTCAAAATCCAGGGGCGACAATTTCTACGAATAAAAACAAAACCAAACCAAAACAAAACAGATAAATAAGAAATAGCACAAGCGAAGGACCCTCACAATTATTCTTCCGACCAAATTTGCTCCGACGCCGGCTTATATTTCCAGTAATACGTATGAGCAGCTCGGAAGGTGAAAGCGTGAACGATAAGACGCACCTGGTACTCTCTTTTTTTCCCGGGAAAAATGTTCACCGGCGGCGAATCCGGCGAAATAATGTTCCCCGCGAAAAATCCGAGCTGGCTATTCCGACAGCTGCAAATATGGATCTGAGAAAATGGAGATTGTGAATGGAAACCGAGGGAAAGGAGAAAATGTAATCGGAGGGCTTTGAAAACCCTAGGCAATTGCTCGGTCTCCTTTTTTTCGGATATTCTTTTTATGATCTACTGAGATATGCTTCGTGTTTCGTGAAATCTCTGTTTTGCTGTTTGTTTAGAGAGAGATTAGAGGATTTTCTTCTGTTTTCTTTTCTTTATTTTTTTATCTGTCTTTTGGTTATGGAGAGAGAAAACGTGGTGTCCTAATGCATTTTGAATCATACAGTGTCGTATTACAAAAATTTTATTTTATTTTCTTTATTTTCCTGTTATATATTTTATTTAATTATAAATATGAATATAATAATTTTCTAATTAAATTTTTAGGTCGTGTTTTCACAATGCATTTTGAATCATATCGTGTCGTATTATATTAAATGGTGCCCGAACATAAATCGCGTCTGTAGTAGAGAGAGAAAGTGAGGAGTCGCATTGTCGTCTCGTGTCCTTCGAAATTCAAACTTCTCAAATTTAATGTTATATACCCGTGTCATATATAGTAGACAATCAAATTTTAAGTCAATTAAATTGTGACGTCACAATTGTCAAATTCTATGTTAAATCAATTAAATAATTTTTTATTTTATTAAAGAATTTATTCAAGATTTAATTCTTAAGTTTTATAGCTAATTTGTTGATCATTTAAAATATATATTGTTGGTCAATTAAAGAATGTCACATCTACATATTGAAGACAAAAAATTCTATGTCATTTTCTTGGATAATAAAATGAATTATTATTTCTTTTGATAATTATTAATAAAAAGTTAAATATTAAAAATTGATGTAATTATCTCTTTGGAATAACTATTAAGGAGATAAATATTAGAAATTCATGGACCAATCAAATCGACATATTCTTTTCCAATAATCTCTCTCATTCACCTATAAATAATGGCTCTCCATAAGGTCAAAGACACAATTCATATTCAAGTTCAAGAGTTCTAGAGAATTCTATTGACAATATTAAAGTGTTCTTGAAAATCCAAAAGTGTTCTTGAAGATTCGAAGAAATATTCAAGTTCGTTCAAACTCAAAACTGACGTTTAATTCGAAAGCAAGTTGCCAAGCGTCCGAGTTATGTTATTAAAGTCAAGACCGGCGTAGAAATATCCAATATCGACTTTGCGGCGAAGATCAAGGGCTCGTGTTCTTCACGTTCTAAGAAAATCGCAGCGTTTAATTCGAGATCAAGTTATCAAGCCCTCGAAAAAACATTATTAAGTTCAAACTCACGAGCGACGAAGATCAAACTAAAGATTCATCTCCAAAAGTCTCAAATCCACTTGAAAATTGTTCTTAAAAATTAATCAAAGAAAAAATAGAAATTTGTAATCCACTGTTTTCATTTGATCCGTTGAATTCAATTTGTACGAAGTTCTCGTGTTTATTAATCTAAGAATACGAAATTTGCGTAACAAATAGTGAATTTAAGACTTTTGGAGACGGATCTCCAGTTTGATATCCATCACTTTTGAGTTTGAACTTAATAACATTTCTTCGAAGGCTTAGCAAATTGATCTCAAATTGAACGTCGTAATTTCCCAAGAACGTGAATAACACGAGTTCTTGGTCTTCGCCGTATATTCAATCTTGGTGCCGATCTTGACTTCAACAACGGTATTGACTTTAATAACGTAAATCAGAAGCTTGGCAGATTGCTTTCGGATTAAACGTCAATCTTGAGCTTGAACGCACTTGAATCTTGCTCTGAATATTCATAGACGACTTTGGATCTTCAAGAACATTTAAATTTCGTCGAGAGAATTCTTTAGAGCATGATTGGATATAAATTTGTTTTTGTTTTGATTGGATTTTTGATTTGGGTTGGTTAAATTTGAAAAAGTAGGTATGGTTAGTTGTTAGTGGATATAATAAAATAATATTTAAAATAAAATGATTAAAATTAAATTGATGTAAAAGTAAGAGAGAGAAGATATGATGTGATAGTTAGTTAAATTTATGTGAGTAGATGAATAGTGAATTAAGGTTGATGTTGTGTGTAAGAATGATTGATTGATATTATGTAATTATATTGATAATATAAATGATAGTGGGTTGAGTTAAAGTTGAGTTAAAAAAAGTGGTTGAGTTAAAAATGAAAAAAAAAAAAATTGGATTGAACTTGTATCCAATCATGCTCTTAGAGTTCTTGAACTTGAATATGCATTGGGTCTATGAGCCCCTATCTATAGGTGCAAGAGAGAAAAATTTGGAAACGAAGACATCGATTTGATTGGTCCATGAATTTTGAATATTTATCTTCTTAATATTTATTTAAAAGAGGTAATTACATCAGTTTTCAATATTTATTTCTTTAATCATAATCTTAAAAGAAATAATGATTTATTTTATTATCTAAGAAAATTACATGTGGCATTCTATAATTTACTTTCAAAATATACACACGACATTTTTTAATTGGTCAACAATATATATTTAAATGAACAACAAATTAACTATTAAACTTAGGAATTAAAATTGGAATAAATTTCTACATAAAATAGAACATTATTTAATTAGTTTAACATAGAATCTACAATCGTCACCATTTAATTGGCTCAAAATTTATTTGTCTACACACATATCGATGCAATTTTATGATTATTGTTATATATTTATCTGATAATACAAACGAAGTATATGTTTCACTTTTTTTTTTTTTTTNTTAAATTGTTTGTGTATATATTCAACTCGTCAAAGTTAAACATCTATTTGTTCATTTACTTTTATACTGTGTTTGATGAGCACCATAAGCTAAATTATAACTTTTTTGGCTAACTTATAAACTTACTCTATTCACATAAGTTTTGTTTGGTAGGACAAACTTTTCTAAAATAGTTCGAATTTATCTCATAAATTTATTCCTTAGTTAGTTTTTCAAATAAGCCCGTTAGAATTTTATTTCAGCTGACTTATCAGCTAGTTTTATTAAACATTTTCATCATATCAGTTACATTTTCAGTCATAAGTAATAAGCTATCAGATATCCCCCTATATATAATTGCAGAATGTGCTAAGCTTAAGTGGCAGCCTTGCATGCTTCGGAATCCTACTTGGCGAAAAAACATGCTTCGTAGTTTGGTTTGGATAAAAAATAATATTATTCTAAATCAATAATTTTAGATTCGGACATTCCAAAATTATTGAAAAACTAACTTGGTAATTCCATAATAGTTTGACTAATATGACCCTTGAGTTGTATTGAAATATTTGGTAATGGTATTGATTGACTAATATAACATTGATTTGGTTTGGAAGCTCTTAATCGGCTCATTAATTTCTATGAAAACCTCAAATTAGTCTAATAAATGCATATATTTAACTTAAACAATTGTTGTTGTTGTTATTATTTAATTTTAAAAATAATTTTTTTATCAAGTACCCGTGTAGTACACGAATATTGTACTGGTAAGATATTGACTTAGAATAAAATTTTCATTTAATGAAAAGATTTTTTTTTTTTTTTTGAAATTTGAATTTTTTAACTTTAACATGACGATCTTCCTCAAATTCGAGTATTTATGAATTTTGTCTAGTTCAACTTTCAAAAAACATAGTTTGTTTGTTTTTATGATAACAAATCAGGTAGGTGTTCACTTTAATTCAATACATTTTAAATATTGCGTAATAAGTAGTCAATAATATTTTTCATATATATCTTTATATTCAAACAATATACTTTGTATTTATTAATTTTAGTTAATGTATATAAGTAGATAACAGTTAAACCGTAGTGTCCTTTGAATAACTAGGTCAAGCACAATGTGCAGCTTTAAAGTTGCAATTAAGAAAATAGAAGGAAATTTAAATACATGTGAAAGCATGTTTTAGAACTCACACTCTTCTTGGCAAACATGTATGGCGCACACAAGTGGGTTTGATTTTTCATTTCAATTAAATAAATGCGACTATCATTTTTTGCTACTACGAAAATATCAATTGATAATTAATCATCATTAGATAAATTGATAAGATTTTAGGGTGGGTGATTAGTAGTTAATTGCCCGCTGCCAATGACTAGCAAGTCTTTACTAATCAAAACTAGTATTCGACCATATGTATTTGCACAATGTAAATATAATATTATAAGTTACATTTATGCATATAGTATTAAAATTATAAGTTATACAATGATATTATACTTTAAACATAGAGTATTATAAGGTATATTTATGCATATAATAAAAAAAATATAAATTAGATAATGATATTATGTTTTAAAATTTGATCATTAGTTAAAATAAATAGTACGTAACTTTTTGATTGCATATGAACCACTATATTAATTACATAAAATATAATAAATAATGTAATTTTGAGAAATCGTCAATTTATTAGCTTAAAAATACTAAATTTCTTATAACATTTGATTATGCGATTTTAAGGAATTTTACTATAACATTAAAATAAATTAACTTATTTAAAAATACAATCGCTAAATAAGATAAAAAAAAATATAATATTAATTTTAGAATAAATAACTTTAAAGAAAAGTTTACAATAATTTTTTATGTTTATGTAACTTTCATATCATTTAGTGTAAACTATAGTTATTAGCTTTAATAATAACTATTATATGATATAATAAAATAGTACAATTATTACTCCGTTAATATAAAATGTAATGGTTTTTGTCTTCATTAACCCTAAAAAAAGTGCAATGAAAATATTTTAGCATTGATTAGATATGTTGGATTAATAATAATAATAATAATAATAATAATAATAATAATAATAATAATAATAACAATAATAATAATAGAAGATTGTAACATAAAAGGATGGTAAACAATAATTAATATTATTGAATTTATTGTTAGTAATTAAATATAGAGAGATATATAAATGATAAAGTTTGTAACAGTTTTTGGAGGAAAATCGAAAATAGGTTTTATTAAATGTTTTATTAAATGCTATTAGCCAGCAATTATATATATATAGATATAACGTAACAACGCTGGTGCTAAACTGCTAATTAGAGATGTTAAATGGTCCTTGGCCCTACGGGCTGGCCCGTTTAGCCCGGAAAAAAACAAGGTTAGGGCCTTTTATTGGCAGCCCGTTTAAATCCGGGCTTTTTAGGCCCGCGACCATTTAGCCCGAAAACCGCTAGGTCTAGCCCGTTTAACTTGGGTTGGGTGGTGTATATGTGTTTTGGAAAGGTAAAGAATATGTCTCATGATTTCTTGTATATTACAATT